CGCCCGCTGCCTGGGCCCCTGGGGGCCCCGGCGTCCGAGGGGGGCCCGACGCGGCCACCTCGCGCGTCCGCGCGCCTGAGCTGGGAGAGGGGCTTCGGGGGACCCGGACCTGCTGTGCGGGGACCGGGAGCGCCCCTTTCGTGCGCCTGCTTTTCACGAGGGCCGGGCACCCCGTCCATGAGCCGACACCCGCCTTCTCGGTCCGCAGCTTGCCGTGACGGGACGAGTGACACCGGACACAGCCTACTCTGGGCCGGCTTTTTCAGGACGTGGCTCGGAGCCACCGGCAAGGCCGGGTCCCCCGAAACCTCACCTGCCTTCCCCGCACCGGCGCGGCCTCGAGGTTTCTCAGACGCCTCACAGCCCTCCCCAGACTGTTCTGGAATCATCTGTGCACCTGGCCGCCTCGTTCACTCTTCCTGCAGAGCGAGACCGTGCCCTGTTCATCTTCCTGATGCGACGGCTGTTTAAACGGGCTGCCTGGTATACAGTAGACGCTCAATAAGTGTTGGCTAAGTGGGTATTCCTCACTGCAAGCAGAACTGGAGGTCAGTAGGGTGATCTTCAGAAGGTCAAAGCAACTTAAACAGGAGGGTGGCCTCGGCATTGGGGTGGGGGACACAGGTTCACACACCAGCGTCTCAGGGACTGAAGGCTTCTGCTTCCTGGTCTGTGAAATGGAAAGAGTTGTATTTATCTGCCAGGGTTTTACAGGAGACTATAGGTTGATAGAGCTACAGCGGTCATTCTTGTCTAGTTTGTTTACAATACATATGGAAACTAACGTTATTATTAAGGAAATTTCCATTTTTCCTGGGCCCTAAAGAGCTTTTCCAATACTGGATAATTCGAGCTTATGAACTGGACTGGCACAAACATACATTTAAAACTCCATGTATCAATAGGTTCTGCCCACTTCCCACTCCCGGGAATTGTCTCTCAGGGCAGGCCTGTCCTCTGCAGCACAGCATCAATCACAGTTTCTAATTATTCCCTCACTCAACTGTTGATCTCTCCCCCACCCCCTCTATACTGGTTTAAGTGCTGCTGGGGATGGGGTGGGGGTGGCCGTGGGAGTTGAAGATAAGCCCCCTGCCTCTGGGGAGCTTAAAGTGGTGGTGTGCAGACAAGATACCCAGAACAGCTCCACAGCAGCATAATCGCAGAATCCTGGTTCAAATTATAGAAAGCAAAGAAAATATTTGCTTTAAAGGCATTACGAAGAGAAAAACAGTAGTGATACTTGGATTTACTTATTGGGTTTTCTTGGGGTCTGGAGATTTTGAAAAAGAGAAGGGTTTCTATAGGGAAAAACTGTTTTCCTTTAATTGCTGTCCTAATGTTACTTCTGTCTATGGGAACAAAAGTGTATCCTCAAGTGTAACCTGGATGAAAATTAACCAAGAGTCTGTTGAAACTGCAACTAAAGAAGTCCAAAAAAGGAAAGGCTACAATTAATGCGGAAACCGTGTCAGTGTTATGATGTATTGATTGTGTTAATTGGCAGGACTTTCCACTGCCAGCTCCTCCCTCCCTTATATGAGGAACCACGAGGGGGCAATGTCTTCCTGAGCAATAGCTGAGTGGTGGTCTTGGGAGGGCCCCATGCTGGCATTAGTGGCATTATTACTTTGCCCTCGGCCATTCTTGCCCTTTACTGAATACACTCCATAGAAAGGCATTGTTTTGTTGGAGCCTGGCAAAGCCCCAAGAAAAATGACAATTAATATAGTCCTCGATGGTTCCAGTCAGATCCCTCTTATGAGTAGGTGGAATACGTGGTGTGATTTCAGGATGCTGGGAGAAACTTCCCTACCCCCACCCAGGGAAATGTGGCTTAATCACAAACATAGAACCTGATTAAGCCAAGCTGGGACTTTGTCCATTGTTAAAAGTCTGAAACTTCTGGGATAAGAAACAAAAATAAATTCCGTAAGAGAATGCTTGTCTGGCTTGTTGTGTTCCTAACATCTAGACAGTACCTAACACATTGGCACTCAACTATTTTTGAATGAATGAGCATATTAACTCTTATCAGTTACTGATTCTCAGGCTCAAATGACATTATTGGATCCTTCCGTGATCCTGAAGGAAGGACTGAATTAGTGGAGGCATCTTAGCATAGAAAGCCACCAAAAGAACGCTATTATTTTGCAAGGGGGGACCCTAGATAGAGACCTTGTGCAGAATGGGACAACTGATGAGATTTCAGAAATAAAAGATAAAATCACATCATTGTATTGATACATCAGGCAATAAAGTTGACAATAAAGCAGGGATCCCCACAGTATATAGTCAGCGGTGAGTGAAATTCAGGGTGTTTCAGAAAAGTGTGTGGGAATAGGATAATATGCCAGGAAGAGAGGGATTCCTGGTTTCTGTCCTTTCCATGATGAATAGCTTAGAATTATTTGGAAGAACAGTAATGTATTACCAACAAAAAACCAAGAAAAATCTGTCAACAGATTCGCTATTTATAAAACTTGGTGACTGAGGGGAAAGAGTTTGAATTGGGGGGGAGGGTGAGGGGAACATACATTGTCAGGACAAATGATCTTTATGACTTGTTTACTATTTCAAAGAAAGAAAGTTTTGAAAGTGACATCTCCTCAGTAGCAATAGTTTCCAGGCATACCAAGAATTATAAGACAACAAAGGGATTTTATTTCTTGGAAAAATTGGGGGAATGACCAAGATACATCTGCTTTCTTCCCTGCCCACCACCCTACTGCACTGCTGTCTGGACTATAAGATTATTTGAAATATTGTATACACCTATTCTTTTTATTGCTCATCCCTGTTTCTCTGGCATTGTGAATTTTGAGGCTTGCTTTAAGAAATCCAAAGCCATAATTATGTCTTCAGTGTTTGCCTCTGGAAATTGCACACATTAAAGGTCTATTTTTAGGTTATTTGAGTGGCATGGGCTTTGCACCTATGTTAGCTTTGCAGCAGAAAGCTGCAGTATCTACCACGTGTGTTGTGGTTGTCTGTTAACTTTTCTGTTGAACCAGTGAAGTTCTTGAGGGCAGAGGCTATGTTTTATTGGTTTTTGTCACCCTTGATACCTCTTTCCCTGACCCCACTCCACCCACCACCAGGCCATCACCACCATCCCCTGGTCTTTCTTATTTATTTATTTATTATTTCCAATTGTGGCAAAAGATACATAACAAAATTTACCATCCTAACCATTTTTAAGTGTACTACGGTTTAGTAGTATTAGCTATATCCAGCTGATTGTGCAGCATCCCCTTGATTTTTGCCTCCTAAATAGTTCTGAGCTCCACTCACTATCATTTGCCTCCTCCTATCATTTCAGGAAGACCAAGGAACCACATAAAGAGGCCCACAGGAAGGAGAATCCAGGTCCCCAGCTCACAGCCCCAGCTGAGCTCTCAGCGGACAGCTGGTACCAATTTGCCAGTCTCGTGGGTGAACTCTCTAGAAAGTGGATGCTGCAGCCCTAGGTGAGCTCCCCCAGCTGACACCATACGGAAGAGAGGTGAGTTTTCTTCAGCAAACCCTGCCCAGATTGCAAAATTATTAGTAAAAACATGAATGCTGTCATTTTAAGCCACTAAGTTTCAGGGTGGTTTGTTATACAGCAATATATAGCTATAATGTAATTGCATACCTAGAAGTGGGGCCTTGCTGTCAGAGAAATCTAAAACATATAGTGACTTTGGGATGAGGTGAAGAATGGAAGCTGGAAGAACCTTGAAGAGTTTATTAGTGAAGAACTCTATTTAAAAAACAGTGAGAATATTGTTATTGTAGGCTGGAGAAAAGGGGACCCAATTTTGGTATTGGAAGAATAATTAGCCAAACTAGCCTGCGGTTACATGCAAGCTAGAAATGGAACATAAGAACCACGTGGATCTGGCTGTGGAGATTTGTGGATAGAATGTTGAAAGGATTGAATGGGGGCTCCAGTCAAGATGGCAGAATAGAAGTTTCCCAGCGTCACTCTCCCCAAAATCAACCAATTTACAACTATTAAAAAGCAACGACAGCCAAGCTGGGGCTGCTAGAGCTCAGGGGAAAAGGAAGACAGACCTATGGAGTGCATGAAGGCAGGAGAAGCCATGATGAGAGAAAGAAAGGATCATTCTGACTATTTTGAGCCCTGGCCGCTTCCAGGTTGGCCCTGATGCATGCACGGAGCAGAAGACAGTAAAAGCCGCAGCTGTGCTCTTTGGATGAAGTTGCTTGGAGGCAGCAGGGGAGAAGAGGGCCTTGATGGCCCCCAGGCCAGCAAGACCACTAACAGGGTTCCCGTGGACCCACATAGGAGTGAGAAGCCAGAACAACTGAAAACCAGGAGCCACTCAGAGGCCAGTGAATCATCACAAAGGTCTAGTGCATGGCCCATCTCATGGGAAGTGTTTAGAGCACAGGTGGTGGGGGAGACGGGCCCACCAGGAGAACACTGGGGCACAGCAAGGACAGCTGATCTGCCCCCCAATCAGCATAGGACCACTTAGTGGGGACTGGTCAGGAGTACAGATCTGCAGGGGGTGCAGTGTGCTGAAAAGACTCAGGTCCAGACCAGAGTTTCTACACAACCCAGGTGTACTGGATCTCACAAGACCTGTTAGTACATACAAGGTCAACCATTAAAACCTGAGCTGCACAAAAAGGCTTCCCCAGGGAATCAGCAGCAAAGCAGAAATTTAGCTCAATTCAAGTGCTGGTTCCCCCAGGAAGTTCCCCCATTTTAGAAGTAACCAAAGGACAACAAATTAGTTCCAGTGCAGAGTTTAAGTGGTGGGAACAGCAAATAATCTAACACAGAACTGAAAGATAAAACAAAATACCCACAGATTTAGAGACAAAGTTTGATATTAACTAGTAAAGGTCTAACACCACCAAAGAACACCTATAAAACCTTGAAGGACCGGAAGCCCCCTGGGCTCCCAATCCAGGGAGAGGGGAGGGTCATGGGCCTCAGCCACACCCCCCTAGCAGCCACACCCAGCCCAGCCACTACCACCAAGCTGCAGCAGGAAGCACTGCAGGCACCCGAGCAGGGGTGGTGGAGGGCCAGGGCCTAAGGCACACACCCTCATCCACATCTGCAAACAGCCCAGTGAAGACAACCGAGCCACTGCACAAAGCCCCCTGGTCTCCCCTGCCAGAGTGAGGGGCGTGCCATGGGCCTCGACCCAGCACCCCGTCCTTCTTACTCCTCCCACTCTATTTCCTTCCCCCTTCTCCTCTCCTCCTCCCCACAACGGCTCCACAACATCTTAGAATGTAAAAAAATAAGAATATTAATCAATCAATAAATTTTTTAAAAAGGGTTGAATGGTTTCTTTTAGATGCTAATAATATAGTACAAGAGGAGTGAGATGAGCTAAAAAAGGAACTGTTCTTTTTCCCATCAGAATTTAGAAGAAACATAAAGAAACCAAGACTTGCTGGATTTGAAATCAAACTGTTTCTCTTTTCCAGCTTCTCCAGAGGACAAAACTCTCAAGTTAAGAAATGGCCTAGGGACAAAGGTCAAATCCAGGTGCTGTAGGAAAACATGGCCATAGGTAAAGTTTAGGACAAGAGTATAGCTAGAAGAAGCTGTGGGAGGTGGCCTCTGCAGTGGCCCCCAGTGGCCCTACCTCCTGGTCTACAGATCAAATGGTCCGATCAAATGTGGCCCCTGGGCTCCTGCGTCTGAGAATACAGTTGTGAGGACATAGATTCTGAGGACCCCTAGTGAAAGAGTCGCACTCAAAGAGCTACATATGTACTTGGACCGGACTTAGATCGCGATGTCCTAGCCCAGGGCTGGCAAAATTTTTCTGTATAGGCCAGACAGTAAATATTTTAGGTTTTGCAGATCACATGTGTGATTCCTATTGTATATTCTTCTTTGTTGTTTTTTATAACCTCTTATAAATATTAAAACCATACTTATCTCAGGGGCTGTGTGAAAATAGCCCACAGGCCACTTTTGGCCCTCAGGCTGTGGTTTGCTCACTCCTGTTTTAGACTGTGAACTGTTGTAGAGTAGGATGAGACATTTTGATATTTTAGGGGAGGAGGTAAATGTATTTTTCACATGGACAGGGACATTCATTGTTGTGGCCACATGGTGGATGTCAGTAGGTAGTCTTCAAACATAGTTCCAGGGCCGGCCCGGTGGCGCACTGGATAGTGCGCCGCTTGGGAAGCGCGGCGGCGCTCCCGCCCGAGGGTTCGGATCCCACATACAGACCGGTTCCCGCTCACTGGCTGAGCGAGGCGCGGGAGCAACACCGAGGGTTGCGATCCCGTTGCCGGTCCCCGGTCCGGTACGGGGGCAACACTGAGGGTTGCGATCCGTTGCCGGACACGGAAAAAGACAAAAGACAAAAAAAAAAAACAAAAAAAAAACATAGTTCCAAATAATTTCGCCTTCTATTTTTACAGGCATACCACTCCTGCCATTGAATGGTGGCGTTTATGTGTCCTCCCCTGTAACCGCAACAGAATGCGGAGGAAATGACATTCTGGGAATTCTGAGTCCTGCTGTTCAAAAGTCCTGGCGGCTTGGAACCCAGCTTTCGTGTACGAGTCATGGGTCTCATAACACAAACCGCATCCACGATGGTGGTCCCATAAGATTATAATGGAGCTGAAAAATTCCTACCATCTTCTGACGTCACAGCCATCATAACATCTTGGTGCAATTACTTTTTAGAAAATAAATTTCGTGCGGCCTAAGTGTACAGTGTTTATAAAGTCCACATTGGTGCACAGTAGTGTCCTAGGTCTTCACACTCACTCACCACCCACTCACTGACTCACCCAGAGCAACTTCTGGTCCTGCAGGCTCCATTCATGATAAGTGCCCTATACAGGTGTACCATTTTTTTTTAAATCTCTTATACCAGAGTTTTACTGTATCTTTTCTACGTTTAGATATATTTAGGTACACAAACACTTATTATTGTGTTAAATAGCCTATAGTACTCAGTACAGTAACATGCTGTATAGGTTCTAGCCTAGCAGCAATGGACTATACCATACAGTTTAGGTGCATAGTAGGCTATACCATCTAGGTTTGTGTTAGTGCACTCTATAATGTTCACACAGTGACAGAATTGCCTCACGACGCATTTCTCAGAACATATCCCTGTTGTTAAGTGACATATGACTGTAAAGAGAGAGCCTAAGCAGTCACCTGGAGAGGTCTGCATGGAAGAAAGGCAACCCTGCTCCCTCCCCCATCTTCATCTGAGCTCCCTGCTCACAGCCGTGGGAGGGCCAGCCTCATGAATCTGCCACCTTGGAGGCTCATCTTCCATGTTTAGTCACCCAGCTGAAACAAAGTGGAGCAGAGACAAGTTTCTTCTCAGAGTCCTGTCCAAATTGCATGTACCTTTGTGGGCAAATAAAAGGTTATTGTTTTAGAGCCACTAGGCTTTGGGGTGGTTACTTACGCAGCAATATAACTAAAACACTGGGATTGGGAACAACGTCAAAAGCATCTTGGCTCGTTTTATGCTGCTGTAACAGAATGCCACAGACTGGGTCATTCATCATGAACACAAATTTACTCAGCTCACAGTTCTGGAGGCTGGGAATCCAAGATTGAGAGAATGGGATCTGGGGAGGGCCTTCTGCTGCCTCATCCCAAGGTGGAAGCAGAAGGCAGTAGGGCAGGCAAGCACGTGTGTGCAGGACAGGCGAGGGGAAGGGGGCTGAACTTATCCTTTTATCGAGAACCCTCTTCCAAGATAACTAACTCACTCCTGAGATAATGGCATTCATTCATTCTTGGGGGCAGAGCCCTCATGACCTAACCACCTTTTAACACTGTTGCATTGGGGATTAAGTTTCCAACACATAAACTTTGGGGGACACATTCGTAGCAAGGCTCTGGAAACCAGAAAGCACTGGACGAGTGTGGGGATCTGAGCCATTGACCTTGGTGTTACAACACAGCGCTCTAACCAATCGAGCTAACTGGCCAGCCCCACAAATGCCATTTCTAACATATACTTTTCCTTCTAAAAGACAGTGAAGTGGGATTGAAAAATAAATGTGGTCCCTTCAGAAACTTAATAAAAATTGCTGACCACGTGATGACAAATAGAAAATGACAAAGCTGGATTGAAGTATGGCTGTAGAGCAGTTGGCAAGGCATGTTTATGACTGAGTGACTTTTCCTGTCACTGCTCTTATACCGTCGATGACCTGAACTTGTGCCTCAGGAAAATAACAAATTAGCAAATGTCTCCAGCCTTTAGAGAGTCACGAACACTCAAATGTCAGACGATAAACTTACAAATTTTAAATGACTAGTATAGTGTAAGTCGTTAGAATGTAGAGAACCTAGAAGTGAGTGTTAGGAGATAAAGCTGAAGATTTAGTTTATTAAGAACTGCCCTTTACAAAGAAGTCTTTTAGTAGCTAGTAAGGTAGATTTGAATGGGGCAAGACAGGACATGGAAAACAGTGACACCGAACAGTCCACGGATGAGCAACGAACAAAGAGTGGGAAAGAAAGCCATTTCCAAGAAGGAAGCTACATGATTTGACACATGATCTAATGTGGGGACAAGGGAGAATAAGGCATCTGACCTACCAGCCAGGTTTCAAGGCTTGCTGAGTGACGAGTACCAACTCAAAAAAGAAAGGAAGAGAGGGAGAAAGGGAGGGACGGAGGAAGGAAAGGAAAACATGTCAGGATAGAAGAACTAGTTGTATGGACAGACGAGTTCAGCATCAGGTATGTGAGATTTGCCAGCATCAGGATCACGCTGACTGGCGGAAAATGGGTCTGTAGCCCAGAAGTGACAGCAGATATTACATATATTTGGGTGCCATCTGAGTAGAAATTGTGGGTGAGCTTAAACAGTAAGAGGGTGGAGAATAGAATCTTAGGAAATATCTGTACTTAGGACAAAGAGAAAGGGTAGCCAGAAAAGAGACAGACCCAGTAGTCAGATGTAAGAGAATGAGAACACTGATGCAAATCACAGCAGCTACCAGCACTGAACTGGGGCCAGTGCCGCACCTCGACATGGGCTGTCACATGATTTTTTTGAAGATGGCAGCTTAAACATACACATTTCCATCCACTCTCCCCAAACCTCTAATAACAACACAAAAAGGATTTCTCATCATCATTATTATCTTAAGGCATAAACTAACAAGGATAAAGAGAATGAAAGAAAACAACAGCAATAAAATTTGGGAAGCTGCAAAGCAGATGAACACTGAGAAAACGAAATCCTGAATCTGATGGGAGAAAACTGAGAAGCAACCTTGAGCTGCAGAATCTGAAAAGACCTAAGCCTGGGCAGCTCAGAAGTGAGAGTGAAACTGAACCTATAACCAGGAGGACTGATTGAAGGGAAAGCAGTTGGCACCCAGATGCTTCTTTTTTTTTTTCTTTTCACATTTTACTAGGAAATTAACATTTTAAATTTGTCCCCTCTTTTTAGGAATATCCAACAGGAAAAAAGAAAAACAGGTATATCTTCGTTCATTTTCATTAGAAGTTTATTTCTCTTTATATGAAAACATTTTTATCAAATCATCTTAAGTATAAAATAAATATATAAGAACATTAAAGGCAAAAACATGACTACTGAGGTAACGTAAGCATTAGTGGCTGAAAAGTTGCAAAATTAGACCTTTTTATGTGTGTGTGTAAATTTAGGTTTCCAATAATCATAGGCATGACTGTAATTATCATCCTAAGTGAACCACTTTAAAATATGTGCCTTTCGGGCCAGCCCGGTGGCGCACTGCTACAGTGCGCTGCTTGGGAAGTGCGGTGGCGCTCCCGCTGAGGGTTCGGATCCCGCATATAGACCGGCCGCTCACTGGCTGAGCAAGGAGCGGGGGCAACACCGAGGGTTGCGATCCCGTTGCCGGTCCGGGTCCGGTACGGGCGCGACACTGAGGGTTGCGATCCGTTGCCAGTCACGAAAAAAAGACAAAAAGACAAAAAAGACAAAAAAAAAAATGTGCCTTTCTTGAGTATGATTAATCATTGCAAGTGTAAATTGGACATTTACTTATTGAAAAGGTTCAAAACTAGTGGCTGAATGTTATGGAAAGCAGTATGGAGGTTCCTGAAAAAAAAAAAAAAATAGAACTGATCCAGCAATCCTGCCATTGGATATATATTCAAAGAAAATGAAATCAATGTATCGGTGAGATATCTGCACTTCCATGTTCACTGCAGCAGTATTCACAATAGCCAACACATGGAGTCAACCCAAGTGTTCATCAGCGAATGAATGGATAAAGAGAAAGTGGCATATATACACAGAGGAATACTATTCAGCCTTAAAGAAGGAAATCCTGACATTTGTGACAAGATGGATGAATCTGGAAAACGTCATGTTAAGTGAAATAAGGGCAGGCACAGCAAGACAAATACTGCATGGTCTCTCTCATATGTGAAATCTAAAAGAGTCAAACTCACAGAAGCAGAGAGTAGAACGGTGCTTAGAAGGGGCTGGGGGTAGGGGGGAGTATTAGGGAGATGTTGGTCAAAGGATACAAAATTTCAGTTAGACGGGGGGATAAGTTCAAGAGATCTACTATGTAACATGGTGACTACAGTTAATAACAATGTATGGTGTACCTGAAAACTGCTGAGAGTACATTATAAGAGTTCTCACCACAGATAAATCTGAGGTATACATATGTTAATTAGCTTGATTTAGTTACTCTACAATGTATACACATTTCGAAACAAGTTGTATACCATAAATATATACACTTTTTGTCAATTTAAGAAATCAATTTTTAAAAGGTGAATGCTCTGTAATTCAAGGTAAGACATATAAGATGTAATAGACATGGTTGTCAAGAAACTCCCAAACAAAACTAGTGGCTGGGTATATTCATCTTAGTCCAATATGTTCTTTGAACAGCTTGTTTCTACCAATTTATTTAATTTTTAAAATTGGTTCTTTCAGTTTTTAACGTATATTTTAAAATAGCATAATATACTAATATTCTATAAATGCTTTTTCTTTTTTTTGGTGGCTGGCCAGTTTGGAGATCTGAACCTGTGACCTTGGTGTTACAACTGAGCTAACTGGCCAGCCCTATAAATGCTTTTTCAATTAAAAATATGTTATGGACATTTATCCACATGAATACATCTAGATTTTTCCAAACTTGGCAGCTGGCCAGCTGGTACAGGGATGGAGCCCTGGATCTTGGTGTTATCAGCACCACGCTCTAACCAGCTGAGCTAACCAGCCAGCACTGCCCCCAACCTCACCTTTTTTTAAACCTTTGTAGAAATGTCATGGTGTGGGTACAAGTCCTATATGGATGGACATTTAGGTTGTTTATAGATTTTTTAATATTAAACAATGCTGTGATAAACATCCTTGTACAAACATCTTTGTACATTGCCTGATTATTTCCTTAGAATACATCCTAAAGAAATTGCTAGGTTAAATGGTAGGCCCATTTTAAGTGTTGACGTTTATGGTTAGTTAGAAAGTTACAATTTCCAGGGGCCGCCCAGTGGCGCACTGCTATAGTGCGCCGCTTGGGAAGCGCGGTG